GAAACCCTGGCTCCTTATATTCCCATGGATGGTGAAGATTTCCAGCTCAGCCCAATCTGCCAAGAAGAACACCCTCTCTCTGAAATTGCACAAAATACCCAGCAGAGTTTAAGTAGCATGAGTACCATCTTCCAGCCCCTTGCTTCTGCCACACAGAATCAGTTCCTTTCAGAGAAGTACTGCCAACAGGTGTCAAATAAAAACATCAACCCCAATCCTGGGCATCTGTCATCTGTGTTTTTCAACAACATGAATAAATCATCGTTGCCACCATACCAGGCACGAGCCAACACCCCGCTGTCTTCTTTGGGTGGAAGGCCGAATACTCAATGGCCACCTGATCCACCATTACAATATGTTCCTACTAAATGGAGACTAATGGATAAATACTCTGGATCCTTAGCCAGCTGTCCGTCTGGGCCACCAATCCACTCTCCCCACACATCTGTATATAAGAAAAGGTAATTTCCTCCTAGTGTGAAAATTATGAAATCTGTGCTTTATTGAGAGAAAAGAGCTCTTTGCTACAACCTTGAAAAATTGTAATTGCTCCCTCAACTGGAGCAATTTATTTCATCAGGTGACTAGAATAGTTGGGACCTAGTTCTGTTTCCACTGGAGTGCCTGTTCCTTTGACTTTACTGGGAGCAGGACGGGGCTGTTAGCTTTTTCATCTGGTTTTGTGATAGGTAAAGTCAGGAAAATTTACCTAATTCTGAAAAGTTCAAGGAGTGGGAGAAGGAGGATGATCTTGGGGATAGGGGCCTAACTTAGAATCTGCGCTCAGTTCCCTGCTCTTCCACAGACTTCCCTTGAAAAAGACTCTTTGCAAGTCGGATCCCACTGTCGGAAACAGGGATGATAGTGTTTCTCTCTTCCCCGCTGGGGAACTGGGAGGATAAACATATTTAAAGACTAGGAGGTAAAGACTGTGAGGTAAGACTGGGGACCACATACTTACCATATATAGCTACAGAATAGCTTTTGTTCTAGATTTTCAATGTATTTCATTTACATTGATCACTATCCAACACACAACAGTGATTGGCGTAGCCAAGTTAGTCACAAACAGTGGTCCGCTTGTAGTCATCAGTTCTGCCACTAACTTACTATTTTCCCATAAACAAGTTGCTTAACTCCTCATGCTTCAGGTTGCAACTATAAAATGGCAGGAAAAATGTTACCCATTTTTATAAGGTTCTGTGGGATCTTCATATGTCTCGTATTCTGTTAATAATAGTCTTAGAAAAATTACCTATGCTGAACCTGTGATTCTGGTTTATACGAGCAACAATTTGCAAGATCAGTTAAATGGTAGACACAAAAAGCTACTCTGTATGTTAGTATTTGTTATGTAGTATATTAATATCGTGCCTACTTAATGAAATATAGAATGAGCCTCTTATGGATTAAGATCTTAGTTTTTACATTCAATTTTTTAAATAGATTGCAAGGTGCTGAGTACACTAGATTTTCATTTATTGCAACATAAAGCATGAAAGCACCCAGGAATTATGGACAGTGAAAACACTGGGTTAACTGACAAAAAAAAAAATCTGTGTTTGCACTGCAGTCTAACATGAGTCCCAAAGTACCTTAATTTTGCAACCAAACAAGACTTTTTGGTTACGGTTCATTTAAGGAGAAGTCTTTTCTTGCCAGGTCACTGGAGAGTTTTGGGCAACGGGGCATAGATATAAATCCAGCAAGAATTGCTCTGTCCAATAGTTTGAAACTGAAGCGACAACTGGATTACGAAGAACAAGCATTTCAACACCTGACTGGGGTAATCTATTAATTCACACATTTCACATTATAGCCATTGAAAAGATTTTTCATTTTGATTATTTATATCTGTTTCTGGTTCCTTTTTAAAAAAAATAAATTTTAGGCGGATGCATCAGCCATTAATGCATCTCAATTAATGTGGAAAAGAATGAAAATGCTGAAAGGGGAAAATTGTTCCTTGGTTGCAGAAAAAAAGTCCCTCAGCACAAGTGTCCTTAATGGTAAGACAAGAAACTAATTTCATATTGTTTGTCCTACAATTATATCTAGAAATGAGTTTAACAGAAACAAAGACTATGCATGCAGGGGTTATCATAGTGTCACTTTTGTACCAGAGGCATCAGAACTACAGTAAGCCAGACAGTAAAGCACACTTTCATTGAGGCCACTAATGGCACTGCCAAATTAGCAGTGTTGCTAATGGTATTGTCCTGTAAAAGGAAAGTTATTATGCTTGGATTTCTTTTTCAAGGGATGTCAGAGGAAGTGATTTCACACAATAGCATAGATGTTGACCTAAATCCTGTTTTAATTTACTCACCTAAATGTAGTTTGTGATTCAGTCCTAGGCACGTGAGCTTCATGCACCCACTGAGCATACTGCCAAGTATGGCTGTGCTCTGGCCAGTTAGGTATGTGGTAACATATGATGGCACAAGTATGGACATGAGACCAGTTTAAGTCCCAAAATTTTAATCAGGCAAACTTATGGCTAGTAGGTGTGAGGAGGAGGAAGCGGAGCACCTAATAGATAGGGCACTTATCCAGGGAGCGGGAGACACAAGCTCCAAGTTGTTCTCAGAGAGAAAGTGTGAACCTTTATCTTCTGCTTCCCAGCACAAGTCTCAACCTACCAGGAGTGTGCTGATGTGCCCATACCAGACCAGCCCTGCATGCTAGATCCGGGGCCAGTCTGGTATGACTCACAGACTGGCTGCGAGTGCTGGATCCAGCACGCAGGGCCCGTCTGGTATAGACACCACAAGCAGCACGTGCTACAAACTGGCCTTGCGTGCTGGTTGCAGCGTGCATTCCAGACTGGCCCGTATACCATGGGCCGCCTGCAGGTTTGGGGCCAATGCATGTTGCATGAGGTGTGCAGGCCCTGGCCTGGCCCTCAGGTGTTGCTTGCAGTGCAAGCTGGCTGACAGTGTTGCACTGCAAGCAACGCCCAAGGGCCAGGCCAGGGCCTGCACTAGCTCTGGTTCACAGGGCTGGTCTGTGGGCTTGATCCAGCCTGCAGACTGGTCCCATGCCCCAGGCCCAGATGAGTTTAACATGCCTGCCTTAGACTATTAAGCTAAAGCATGTGAGGGCCTTCTTTTCTTTCCCCTATTGGCAGGTATGCACACTCTTTACATCTCTGGATTTCTGGTATTTGCAAGGATTTCTATCAAAACTGTATTTCCATTTTTAAAAAGCTGACAGATCTTCTACTTTGTAACTATGAATTCTCGCTGTCCTACATAGCTCACTCCTTTTAAAAACAGCTTAAAGCATTAGGGCCAATTCCTCCATTGTCCTGCAATTTGTAGGGCAAAAATCAGTGCAAACCTCTCCCATTCCAATTTGATTAGGCTTTGAACATTTTGTTTTGAGGCATATGACAGTGCAAGGGTTAGGGTAGAGAACTGGGCCCTAAGCACTGCCAAATTCACAAGCCGAAAAAAGAGAACTCTCTTATTTTTGTACAATCACTTTGAGCTGGGTTCAGTTAGTGGGGCAAGAGCCATCACTAGCAAGACTGAGACTTAACAGCTTGCTTTGCATTTGACTTGTAATAATAGATGGTAAAAAATTATTTTGAACAGAAGTGTAATAGGTATTAAAGAACAACATTTTTAAGTATTATATTTTGGAACCAGGTATTCCAGTTTTTCTCTTCATTTAGAAGTCACAAATGGCATTATCTGTGATACACAACCCAGAGATTATATTACCACCAGTTAGGTCAGGAGTGTTTGATCAGTCTGTGGTTCTGAAGAAAGAACATTCAAGCACTATTGCGGGATCAAAGTAAAGTGGTTATCCACACCTAGTGTTTGTTTCTGGATTGCCTTTTATTAAGAAGAAAGAAATAATCTAATTTGTTCCATGGAGAGGAATAATTCAATGAGTACATTAATCCCTCAAATGAAAAAGGAGGTTATAAAATTAGCCTCCTGGTCTTCAGCTTTTTCACAAAATGACTCTGCGCAGTTACATAACCTTTGTTTCAGTGGGGGGGCTGGGACTGAATAAACAGTGTGCCCTGGCACAAACTGTGTGATAAAATTTGCTAGGGAGACATTTGTTACAGTAGTGAAGACCTCTGGTACACTCATTCCCTGCACCTGTGCTCCCAGAAGACCTGTTGGCATAGCAGGTCACAGTGATAGTTTTTCTCTCTGTTTTAAACGCGCACACAAACACAAGTAATTGTTTTTTTCTCCCCCCATTTCAGATGAATTTATTTGCAACCCACAAAGAAGTCTGAGCCAACCAATAAATCAACTGCAGCATCAACAGCAGCAAACCCTCTGTGGAAGTCCTGGTGTGGATCAGAAATCAGCATTTTCCCCTCAGTATTACAATTCTCCTTATCAGGACTTTAACGTGCTCCAATCTCGTAAAATGTCAGGTAAGGACTACCAATAACCAATAAGAAAGTTGATCTAGGGTTCAATACCAGCTGGAAGACAGAAGGCTTACTGGAGGGAGGTAGAAAACAGGCTTAAAACCTGTATGTTAATTTTATTAAATATAACGATTAGAGGTTTCTTGGGTAAAAAAAGACAAATTATTGTAAAACTAAAAATTTTAGATGCATTGGTAATAATTGGATAAAAATATCAGATTTCAACTGAAAAAAATTGAAAGTCATTCTGTGAATGGCATCTTGTGTATTATGGAGTTTTTTCCTTGTAACTGAATATGTGAAAAAGCACTAACATATTACAGAACTGAATCACAGTTTAGCAGACTGAGGTTTGACTTAATTTTATGGTCTTTTTTTTTTTTTTAAATAGAGCATGTTACATGAGAGTTATATAGATGCAGTGGGTGTTAATTGTAATCTGTGGTTTGCTATAGATGATAGTGTTTTGAGGGAGTCATTCTAGCTCAAAACAGGAAATCTACACGAAGAGCAAAAGAAAACGTGAAGTTTCATATCTAGCCAAAATCTGAACATATGAGATTGTTCTTATCATTTTATATCATTTGTTCTTTGTTCTATATAACTGACCTGGAGGATGCAGAGTTGTTTTCAGTTCTCTTAACAGAACATACAACGTCATTAAATGGGAAAAACTACTTCATCTTCTAACTTTAGCCATGTGCAGGAATCAGCCATAAAGTTACATTATTTTTCTTCTAATTTTTTTTTTCAGGTCTAAGTCGTCTGCTTGGGCCATCTTTTGAACCATATTTGTTGCCTGAACTGACCAGATATGACTGTGAGGTTAATGTCCCTGTTTTGGGCAGTTCCACACTTCTGCAGGGAAGCGAGTTGCTAAGAGCTCTTGACCAGGCGACCTGAGCAATCCTGTGATATTCCTTGGCCTATACTGTTCAAAACAGCCTCAGTTTTTAAATATATTTTTACAAGTAGACAATTTCTAATACCAATACACTTTTTGCAAGATTTTACTTTAGATACTGAACTTGCCCATGTTACCAAATAGTGGCCCTTTTTGAAGTTACTCATTTTATTATTCATATTAAAAAAATATAAAATCTACTGTATTTTTCTCTATTTCAATAAAAATGTTCTTTAGATAGACTGATTTTTCCCTACCTCTTCTCTCCCCCTTCCCCCCTACTGCTTGTAATTTATATTCTCTGAAATTTTTTCTTCAGCGTTCATGCTAATAAAATCTGTGGTGTAAATGCCTTGCCATGCAATCCTTTGGCTGCAGTACTGCATAGATTTATTTTTATTGCCAAAGAAACAAGCAAAACAAACATCTGATTTTATACCACAGTTTCTGTTGGTCCTGGTAAATTGAAATCCTGTGTGCCCCTCTGCATGTCCTCCCCTCTGGTTTCCAGCACTAAACACAGTGTATCATTAACATCTGTGAAAAAAAAATTAAAGATAAAAGCCACCACTCTGCCCCCCCCCCCCCCCCCTTTTTTTT